ATCAGTTGAAGTCTAAGTGCAACTCCAAGATTAAAAGAGATTTATATAGAAGATTGCAGGAGTTGAAACAAGACTCCATGAATGTTGAGGATTATTACAACGAGATGGAGTTAGCTATGATCAGAGCTAGTGTGAAAGAGACTCCAGAAGCCACTATGGATTGTTTTATACGTGGGCTTAATCCTAAATTAGCCCATGTTGCAGAAATGCACAACTTTATGGAGATTAATGATTTGGTTTCTTTACTTAGCAAGCATGAGCAAAAACTCAAAAGAAAGAAGCATTTAGAAAGAAAATGTTCCTCTTCAAAGAAGAACAACCAAGAGAAAGATATCATCTCCATGTCTAATTCAAATGACAATAACTCCATTGTTATGTAAAAAAGAAGAGAGCTTAAGCAAAGAAACAAGTGCCATAGAGAGCATTGAGTGCTATGAAAATAATGAGACTAAATATGAGAGCGCTAAGGTGAGTGAAGAAAAAAATAAAATCAATTGTGAGAAAAATGAGGTTAAAGGTGATTACAAGGATATTTCTTTGATTACTAACCATCTTAATCATTCTTTGCCTTGTGTTTCTAGTGTGTTGCGGGGAGTCAATTTGATTCCTAAGGAGCCATCCAATGGATTCTCATTTCATTTAAGCAATATTGAAAAACATTTTGATGGCCTAAATTTTGTTATTCCTAATGACTTGTTGTCGTTAAGATGCTACGAACTTCATACATTGGATTTTAATTGTTACATGAATTTTGTTGTTAAGGGGTTTTCTTATCATATACATGCTGTTGCTCTAGGTTATGTTATAGGTGCACAAGAGACTCAAATTATCATTTATATTTGTGTGCATCTGAGAAAGAAAAAATTTCTAATTGAAAGTAAATTTTAATAGCTTCCAAAATTAGACTATCCTCTTATGAATCTAACAAGTCTAAATCCCTCTCCAGTTGTGGCACAAACCTATTACTTAACTTTCGAGATTCCACCACTTAGTAGGTATTGTTTCCAAAATATTTTTGAAAATTGTAATTTTTTTCCTTTTGATATAGGACAAGATTCGACGATGAATCTTTTCAAAGAGGGAGGGAATGACAGCATACCAAGAGGCATTCGATATGGAAGTCACGAAGCCTAAATAGTACTCATTCAGTTAAAGGCCCAACAAGCCTTCTAGAGTATTCAAGGGATGTATAGCTCGAGAATACTTACATGGAGGAGGACATGGATTATTCTTTAGATGATGATATAGACACATGCGGAGCTTGACATGACATATGAAAGGCCACCTCGAAAGCCATCATGGCATGTGAGTCATTGTAGTATGAATAGTTAGACCTTGAGAAAGACAAGAGCACATTCTAAGAGCCTAAAAAGAATATTTAAACCCAATTCCCATGTTAGTAAAGGCCCAATGTAATTATATATGCATGGATGAGTCTATTGGACCTGTAATCTTTTAAATTGGGGCCCAAATGCATTGTGTTATGGATCATTGGAGTTCCAGAACGTGGTTCAATAATATTCAAGCCCAAATAGATGTCTAAAAGGCTCATACATGCTTATAGAGGTGAATAGCATTTATGAAGATCCATTTGGAAGGTCCAAGAAGATTCAAAAAACATCAATAGTGATCTTATATGACATTAAATAAGATTCTGTTTGTTTTAATTAGTTTCTTGTTTTACAGTTTCTTATTTTGTATTGATTGTTTCTTGAAGGCAAAAACTTTCCTAATCTGTATTTCATTAATTAGTAGAGTCAAATAAGATCCTTCTAATTAATGATAGGATCCTCTTAGGTAGTGTGTGATCCAGATTATTCTGTCTTGACTAGCAAGTTAGAGTATTCTTGAAGGTCTTTTGATTTTCCTAATTTTAATGTATTTTCGCATCTATTTTTTTTGCATTTTATTTACTTAGTGTTTTAGGCTCTAATAGCTTACATGGGCGTTTAGGGCTTGGGTTACTTATTAGGGTTTTGATACTAGGGTTTTCAAAAGTCTTAGTTTATAAATAATTCCATGTGTACTTTTTTCAAAGAAAGAAAGATGATTTTGAATAATATAAAAATTTTATTTCTCCTTGTGTGAGATTTGCTTGCATTCTCATATTCTGGTGAGAATATTCATAATATCAATCGAGTAATCAACCTTATGATGTCTTCATAGCTAGGGTTGTAAGATACAGTTCTCCTAAGGGCCTACCTCAATATCTGTCTGATTCATCGTGTTTGGGACTACAAGAGGCAGGTTTCCTTAGGGTCTCATTCCATCTTATACTTGATTCTAGTCGATCCTCGCATTCCCCTCATGTCAACGAATATATGTAGCTTCCCTCCTTATTTTGTAGAGTCAAATATAAACCATTTTTTTATAAGAAATATACAGAAGAAGCCATGGCCATTGAAAAAGCCATGGCCACTGGAAAATGAAGAAACAGGAAGGAAAATATGATGAGCATAAACCCAAAGACAGAACCTATCTCAAAAGACTAGCCTATTACGAGAAAGAACCAATTGAACTTGTAAACCCTCTAATACTTGTGAGATTTCTCAATGTGGGACTCATATCAGAGCATCCCTTCAAGGTCCCCAATGGCTCCAATCTACTGTACTTCACTCGTTCTTTGTACCAGTCAGAACCCTCCACAGCTAGCCCTTTCCGGTTGGTCGACTTTCAATGAAGCACTAAAGTGATAAGCATAAGCCTAAAAGATTAGCCTATTAAGAGGGATAGCCCCTTGAACTTATAAATCCCACAATACTTGTGAAACTCTCCAATGTGGGCTCACAACAGGGCACCCTTCTTGAGAGCTGACATCCCCGACAGCTCCACTCTGCGACACTTCACTTGATCTTTTTACTAGTTAGAACCCTCTACAAGTAGCACTTTTTGGTTAGTCGACTCTCATTGAAAGCACCAATGTGATGGGTACATGACCAAAGGGAGAGTTCATCCCAAAACACTAACCTATTTGGAGGGAGAGCTCTTTGAACTTATGAACCCCATAACACTTGTGAAACTCCCCAATATAGGACTCATAACAGAAAACTCACAAAATAGATTAGAGGAAGAAAGAGAAAAATTTCAAACCTGTATGTGAGAGGCGTTCTTTTTGGCTTATGAGTGTTTTGAGTATAAGCTTTTTCAGGCTCTTGGGAAATGTGTTTTGAGGACATATGAAGGTTTTCATTGTTTATATTTTGAGTTTTATAAATTTTTAAAACTGATTTATAGTTGTCTAATTCATTTTATTTTTATCTAAAATAATTCATACAAATACCATTATATACATATATAATATTTTTTATTTAATTATTATGTCACCAGTTCAACTATTAATCCAACTGGATGAACCATGACCCATTGGCTTTTTTGATTTGACATCTAGTCCAACTTTTAAAACATTGCATATATGTATATAATAAAATCTATAATGATTTTCCTTTTATTAAATTTTTGTTTAATATATAAAGAAATATATCTAGACACAAAAATGTGAACTTTTTGTTATTTTTTTGGCCAATCTTTTCAATATTTTTTAATTTTTATAAAAAATGTTTATAAATTTATTAAATCATTAGCTAATATTTTCTTTTAAAATAGTGGAAAATCTCTTAAAAAGATAGTTAAATAATCTAAAATTTTTTATCATTAAATTTGTCAAATTCTTAATTAGGTCATGTGGCCCAAAAAGAAACTTTAAAATCTTATGAATTGATTCTAATGCCCCTTCATTAGAAATTCTTTTCTTTTAAATTAACATGTTTCATTTTGCAATTTACATTATTCTAAATTAACAATTTTTTGTTTGCATAACAACTTGCATTAGTCTTTGAATAAAACTTAATCACAATACAATCTTGAAAATTAGTAAGTTCAATTATGCAATTAAAAACTTCCAGTTTTGAAGTAACAACTTCATGTCTCCAAAAAACAGTTTTAATAAGTCTTGGAATAAAATTTGACCATAATACCATTTTGAAAATTAACATATTTCATTTTACAGTTAACACTTTTCAATTTTAAATTAACAACTTTTTATTTTCACAACACACTTGCAATAATTCTTTAAATAAAATTTGATTACAATACAATTTTGAAAATTAACATGTATTATTTCACAATTAAACACGTTTCAATTCTAAATTAATAACTTTCAGTCTTCATAACATATTTCTAATAAATCTTTGAACAAAGCTTTATCATAATACAACTTTAAAAATTCATATGTTCCATTTCATTGTTAACACATTCTAATTATAAATTAATAACTTTTTATCAAGATTAAACAATAAAGATTAAGGGAGGAAATTTTATTATTAAAACCAACTCATGCCTCTCTGATTGATTTTCTGACTTTGTAATGGTAGATATCAAGTTTCTCTCATTCAGAGCTGTTACACAACACGAAAATAATAGAAAATCATCATCTCTGTAGGTTTTTAATGAAAGGAGAATTAGAGTCATTTTATAAAATTTAAAACCTCTCTTTAGGACATCTGAACTAATTAGAGATTTGACACATTCAATAAATCAAATAAGAATTTGCATTATTTAACTGTCTTTTTAAGGGATTTTTTTCTCAAAATAAACCACGTAAAATTTATACATGCTTGAATTTCGTTAACAAAAACTTTAAAATATTAAAAAGAAGCAAAGTAAATCATAAGGTTTTGAATTTGATTATTGAATATACTATCTTTGTTTTACATTTCTAAAGACTTTAGATCCAAAACTATTTTTACATATCCATTTTGTTTTACATTTTTTCAGTACTTTATATATATATATATATATATATTTATATGTAATCAACATAAAGTCATGCCGTTCATCACCCATAAATAATACGAGACCTGGTACCCCTTCCAAGACACGAAGAGAATAATACCCAGTCCTTTTGTATTTTGACTGACTGAAGTGGAAAGATTAGATTTACCAAAAAAAAAAAAAGGTTGCGTAAGGCTAGCTCAGATAACAAAGGTGAGATGGGATATGAGTAAATGTTAAGGGTTCAAATTTTTTTAATGTAGCAAAAGAAAACTGCAACAAATTTGATATATTGATTGCTTTTATTATCATTATATTTAATGCAAATAAAACACTTAAAACTAAACTTTACCATATCTCTTTCTAAACCACCTGTTTAACTTAATTAACACCACTCTTCTCTTAGTCTCATCATTCCACCTCCTTTCACTTCTTGACTTTGAGCTTTCTATTGTTTTACGTAGGAACAGCAAGTGGTGGAATACTCTGTTCATGCCTGAACACATTTTCTGGATCAACTTGACTCTTTATTTTCACCAATCTGTCAAAATTACTCTTGAAATACATCTTTCCCCATGCACTCGCTCCTTCATAGCTCGTCCCATTCTTCCTGTTCATGCCCAGATCAAGATCTCTGTAATTCACATATGCTTCTCTGGGTGATTTTGACGCATAAGCTGCCATGTAATCATAAAGCCCTCTCATCCAATCTATGTGTTTTGTAGCATCTTCATCTTTGTTTTCCCACGATGTAACATATTGAATTTTATACAGTGTTCCGTTTCTATGAGGGAAAGGGCTATCAGATTCTGCAAACTTGCCCATCATTCCTCCATAGGGGTTCCAGATCATCAAGGGGCTTTCTTCTTCTAGAAGCTTCTTCCACAAGCCTTCAAGCCCAGATTCTGGAATCGGGTCTCGAACAAAATCAGATTTGGCTTTGAAGTAGTTCTTGAAGGATGATTTGCCCTGAAGCAGAACTTCTGGGGCCGTGTCTTTTGGATAGCTTGCAATGTAAAGCACAGATTTGATCCAGCTTGTTTCATAACAGTCTTCGACTGTTAAGCCAAGGTCAGGGAAGCTTTGCTTCATCACTTGAAGGAGTCTTTTGGAATCTCCCAGGAAAAGTGCGTCATAGGAAGTTGAGATTGTTCTGCCAGTGGTTTTGTTGCCACTTGGTTGAATCAGTACTCTAATGAACAAATCCTCGTCAAGGAATGGCGCCACCTGTCGCAAAGTGATAGGTCAAACCTTCTGTCCTCTATAAGATCATATCAAAGCATACTCTTATTAGCAGTTATAAAATTAATTCTTGACCGGATTGATAAAGAGATTGGTACCGATTCATTAGTCAGCCAACCTGAATTGTGTTTTAATATTATGCTAGTAGTATATTTGCATCTAAATAAAATCTGGAGGGGGAAAGAAATGAAAACAGAAGCTTGATGTGCGTTTTGAGTTTCCTTTGAATAAAATGGTCGAGTGCGTCTTGGTGCTTGCATGCACTTAAATAAGACTCGAACCAAAAAGAAACGTTTGACTCATGATTCTGCCTAGAAAGAAAAATAATACACCCAATAAGTCAGTAAAAGTAATAAAATTAAACGAAGGGGAAAACAGTTTAAAATTTAAATGACAATAATTTGTAACAAACTTTTATAATCAATATGGATTCATGAATATATATACACACATATAACCAAATTATAAGGATCATATAGAATAAAGCGACTCACTAATGCAGGAAAAATATGTCTCAAGAGTCCATTAATAAAAAAATAAAAAAAAAATGGAAAGAAAGAAAATAGAAACTGTAAAAACAGGGACGTAGTAACAGAGTCTCCTCAATCACCTGTTGCCATCTATGAAGAATTGAAGTAGCTCCTTGCTCCAAAGTTTTGGTAATAGTAAAAACGGTCACAGTCGGAGGAACAGGAACAAGCTTGATCTTCCACCATAAAAGTATCCCAAAGCTTCCTCCTCCTCCGCCTCTGATGGCCCAAAACAGGTCCTCTCCCATGGCTTTTCTGTCCAGAATCCTTCCATTCGCATCCACAATCTTCGCATCTTCAACATTATCTGCTCCCAAACCGTACTTCCGCATCATCGAACCGTACGCTCCTCCAGTAATATGCCCACCGACACCTAAGCTCGTACACAGCCCCGCCGGGAATCCGTGCACGGCGCTCCTATCATAAATCCGGTAATACACCTCGCCGATGGTCGCGCCGGCCTGAACCCACGCAGAGTTGTCTTGGATATCGACGTTGATACCACGGAGCTCGCCGAGATCAATGACTATGAAGGGCGTCTCGATCTCTGAAACGTAAGACATGCCTTCGTAGTCATGACCTCCGCTTCGGATTCTGATGTGAATGTTGAGCTTCTTGGAGCAGATTACGGCGGCTTGAACGTGGGATTCGGAGGTGGGAGTGAAGATGAGTTCGGGTTTTGGAGCAGAAGGGAGTAAGTAACGGAGGTTTTGAGCGGAGGAATTGAGGACGGTGGTGAAGGAGGAGTTGTATTGGGCGTAGATGGAGGCGAAGAAAGGGAAGGATTTGTCTGAGTTCAGAGAGAGACACTGAGCGAAGCTTTGTTGAAGGGAAGGTTCTGAAGAAGAAGAAGACGAAGAGTGAGAAAGTGAGGGGAGAAGGAGAAGGAGAAGAAGAAGGAGAACAGAGAAGCGTGACGAGGTTGAAGACAACATTGCTGGTTTTGTCTTTGTGTGAGATTTTCTTTCATGTGTTGAACAAGGTGCTCGTGGATGTCTCTATATATAGAATTTTAATTCACGAGCAAGCAGAGAGGTTTTGAACATGACAATGATGTTTGGGAAAATTACACACAAATTTCTTTTTTTTTTTTTCTAGCAAAACACACAAATTTCAAGGAGCAGAACTTATTCATCTGAAATCCCATAAAATGTCAAAATTAATAGCAAGTTCTAAGGAACCTTAGAGTATTATATTGTAATTATAAGATGACGTCACTACCTCTTAGGTTGCCAATTCATAGTTTTCTCTGCCAATGCTATTGACAATCTCAGCAGCGAGTATTAACAGCCCAAGAGGAGCTATTGACAACCTATGCAGTTTTTGTTGACAACTGACTTTATAATATAATATAACCTCTACATAAGATCAAATTATAACTAAATAGTATAACATAACAAATTTAACATTGAAATCATTTGTATAGAAACTTCATAACAATACTATACTTATATAGTATTTATCGTAGGGCCATCATATTAGAAAAAATTTGTCCTTCTCCAATAACAAAATCTTTCCATTTTGTTGAATTCATTTTGAAAATTAGTGTTGGCATCATTTGTGAACCACATGACAATGATGGTGAGTCTTCACCCATCACATTGAGCAAAGACATAAACAATGCATCTGAACCTTTGAATAAATCTTTCATCCTCATAATAAAGCAAGTCATAGTGTTGTTAATGACAACCTAAGAAGAACAATTGACAACAAAGCATATTATTTCAAAATTAAAATAAGTAAATTTCATTTACACATGTTTTTCTATTAGACTATCCATTGTTAGTTGTGAATTTTCATCTATAACGTCCAAAAATATGCACTCATCAAAGGTTACTGTAATTTAAAACTTTGCCTTCCTCAAGATGAAGTTTGCTCCACCTAGTAGGCTAATGTATGTATCAAATGATCGAAAATGACATTATTATTCATTCACATCTAAATCTAATTGTGTAATACCTGCCCAATAAAAAAAGGTTACATTTAATACTGTTATAAAAATCAAATATGACTAGGTTGTGTTGTTCTATAAAATCAGTTGTCAATAAATACTACTTAGTTGTTAACAGCTTCCTCTTGGGCTGTTAACACTTTCTATTGAGGTTGGCAATGGATCTCCACATTAAAATTCTGCTATAATCCTATTAGATCTAGTTAAAGTTGTTAATGCCTTCAAAAAGCTTTCTATTTCAATGTTAAAGTTGTTGTATTATACTATTTGGTTATCATTTGATGTTATGTGGAGGTTAATTGTGATATCCTATAAAGTCAGTTGTCAGCAGACGCTACTTAGGTTATCAACAGCTTCCCCTTGGGTTGTTAATACTCACCGTTGAGGTTGTCAATGAAGGTGCCGTTGCAGACCTAATGCTTTCTACTCAATGACGCAGTTAGGGTGGGGGAGAGATTTTAGGCCAACTGAGTAACAATGCCACAACACGATTAGGGTGAGGGTGATAGCAAGACAGCAACACATAGTTTGGGATAGAGAGAAACGCCGATAGGCCTACTGCGATAGGGGGACGACGGATGGCAAACCGATTGTAAGAGGGAGAGACAACACCATAGGGGAGCGATTGTACCACAGGAAGTTCTACGAAGGGAGAGACGATGTTGGGGAGTAACTGTTAATAGAGAGACAAGAAATACAAGAGACATTGTCGATGGGAGAGGGAGCGGTTCAAACATAAGCTGAGAAGGGAGAGAGTGTTAGAACGTTGAATTAGATACTGCCTAAGCTGTCAACAACTTCTTGTTGGGTTGTTAATACTCACCGTCAAGGTTGTCAATCACATTGGCAAGAAAATAGATGGACAGTGATGTCATTTTACAATTATAATATAACACTCCAAGGTAATTAACATTTTGTGAGACCTTAGATGAATAAATTCTACTTCTTGGAACCTGTGCATAATTTTCTCATGATTTTTCAGAAGTTATGTTTAGGTTTTACTAATAGGAAAAATAACATAATTCTTATTGGCTACTCTTGCAATAGTTTTGATTAATCTTGTAATGATTTTAACAAGTTAAAATCTATAAAAATAATGTCTGTCATTTTAAAATTTAATAGGTATTTTTCTGTCATTCACCCCTACAATTTTGATTCATTAACTGATCAAGAGTGTAAATTTCCAGGAGCAGATTTTTGTTAAAATATTGTAATTTTCTTGGATATTTCTATTAGTAGTTTGAAAATCCAATGCACTTAATATAAAACAAAAATACATCGTATTGTTAATCAATATTGATTTTCTTGCAGCGTTAATCAATATTAATAATATTTTATCTTTGTAACCTGAAAAGTCAGTGATAAAATTAAATATCTAATTTTTTTTAAATGATGAATTAAAATAAATATATGAGCGTGTTTCCAAAATTTGGGAAGGTTCTCGATAATGATCAAGAGCCTTTGATGGTGATGGCGATGGTGATGGCGCAGAAGAACAGTGTGGGAATGCTTGAGGTAAGACAAACGTCACTCATACGAGAGTTTGGGATTGGGTAACTTTGAGGGCTATCTTCTATTTTTGTAATCATGGCATTTTGATTTAATTTTACCGACAGATTCTTAGAACTCGATGCCTGACTCCTAAATCTATGAGTTGATGTGAACAAGTTTACGTGTTCGTATTGGCTGGGATAACTCATGCGTTCCAAATCACATTATTATATATGTATACACACACATATCTGATTTATACAGTGTGCTTAATTGCCAAACCCATATGCCAACTGGAGGTTAGCTAGTTAATTTAATTCCCAATACTTTTTTTTCTCGTTGAATAGCGCGGGGGTAGACTGTTATATCCTGGTAATTATAACCTGGGAAATGAAGAAATTATGATTGACTAAGGGTCAGGTAGTATAGTAAAAACATAGACAGAATAATTTTTGAAGTGAAACCGAGGGAAAGATCTGAGCATTATTTTGAAAAAATCGGTCAATGAAGGACAGAATAGGAAATTACGCTCAAAGTTCCAAAAAATTTCCAAAAATTTATGAAAAATAGAATAAAGAGTCTAGAATAGTGTTTGAGACCTGAAAGGTGAAAATAGTATGAAAATAATTTATTTTAGAGTTTTCTGTAATTATTAGTATTTTTGACTAATTAAGGGGAAAATGGCCAAAATGAATTATTTAAAACATGAGGAGGCTCCAATAATTTATGAAAAATTTAGAAAAATTATTTTGGAGATTATTATAAATTTTAAAATTGTTCCTGGCCTCTAGAGACATAGAGGATGAGTTTAAAAATATTTAAAACTTATTTTTTTAATCGATAGAAGGCCAAATTCAGGAAAAATTTGATTGAGGGAGTTAGAGGTCAAAATAAAATTTAAGAAAATTAAGAAAACCTATCCTCATAAAAAAAATTATTAGAGTGAAGAAATGAATTTTTGAAAGAAGAGGATTCAATAGGATCTATGAAAAATTCAACCGATACTATGAGATTGTACTGTGTATTAAGTAGACATTCGGTGCAACAAAATTTCCTCCCATTTTTCTGGTTGAATTGTGTTAGAAGCAATCTCACCCAAGAGGCGGGTGAATTGGGTGAGATAAAAAAATTGCGAAATTAAAAGGAGACAATATCGGAAACAGATAGTTAGAGTTAAGAGGGATTTCACCGTAGAAGGGAAGACACAGGATTTATACTGGTTCGGTCTTAACCACTTGACCTATGTCCAGTCCTCAGAACACCTCTGAGTATTTCACTATCTTCCAAGATTGATCGGGCTCTTGGTGCCTCAATACAGTAATTGAATCACTCAATCACTCCCCCTTACTCCCGTAAGGATACAAACCCGCTCAAGAGTCCACACTCTTGAGTATCACTCAATAGTAATTAATAAAGGATAGAAATCGACTCTCTTACAGAGTGAAATTTAATGATGAACACTGATGCTCAGTAGTATTGAAGAAACAGAGTATTGAATGCTAGACTTAATAATCACATATGGTAGCTCCGGTATTCAATCTCCTCATTAATGCTTCTTCGCGCCTTTTATAGTTGAGATCGTTAAGTAACCGTTAGACAGAAGAGCTTCTAGCCGTTGTGACTCCGTTTGCGTGTTTAGCCAGTTCCAACGGTTCCGCCATTAATGCGTCTGAGCTTTCTGACACTGTAGGTTACAGGTTACGTAATCTTGTTGAAGAGCCGTTGTAATTTCTCTTAGTAATCTGCATCCATATTTTAAACTTAAATAAGTAAGAATAAAGCGGTGTAAGCTTTAGTCATGGATCAGGAGGAATAACTAATTGATTACTCAATGATTCTAGATAGAATGAATCATCCGTAAAAGGTGCAGAAAGATATTCTGGACATGGTTGATCGAAGTGGTGATTGATTACTGGTTGATCGATTTGGTTATCGAAAAACAGAAAGAGAAATTTTCGATTAGTAGAAGAAGTTTATCGATCAGATGATGGAACAATGGTTTATCGATCAAGTGATCGATAAAATGCAACAGGAAATCTTAGGTTGATATGTAAATCAGAGTTCCTTTGAATATACACCACTTGGTAAAGTAATCATGAGGATTGTGCAAGCAAAAAAATCTTGGAAGTGAGTATGAGAAATGTTATAGCTTGCTGAAGTTAAACTGACAGAAATCAAATGATCGATTAGTTTACCGAGTAAAGGTTGATCGATCAATTTATCGATAATTCAAGTGTTACCGAATTGAAACTTTAGTGCATGTTGATCGAACACATTATCGATAAGATTGTGATCGATAATGTTATCGATAAGAGTCAAGTGTGAAACTTTCAGTGAGAAACAGGGATTTCAAGGATTATCGAATGGGTGATCGATCAAGGCATGTTCGATCAAATTATCGATAAACGGTGAAATGAAAAGTTTGTTCTAAAGCTGTTTATCGATCATGTTATCTGAAAAAATGTTAAGTAGAAAAGCTTAATTATCGATAAGGTTATCGATAATTTAGTTCTAAAGAAAAC